ATGTATTTGCTGTCGTTGTTTTCCGCGAAGTGAGAACAACTACACTGTCTCAGTGTCACGCGCAATTAGGAGCCAGGACCCTCGGATCTTTCTCTCAGTTTGTCAGCAAGCAGCCGAGCAGCGTCGCCTCCTCCTCCTCCTCCTCCTCCTCTCTCATGCTGCCGGAGGGCTCCGCGGAGCGGCCATGGCGAAGATCCGGGTGTCGTACGAGTACTCGGAGGCTGAGGACAAGAGCATCCGGCTGGGCTTGTTCCTGATCTTCTGCGGGGTGCTGAGCCTCTTCATCCTGGGCTTCTGCTGGCTGAGCCCGACGCTGCAGAGTCTGCAGAGCAAACCGGCCAACTGCACGGTGAGCCTCCTCCTGCTCCTCCTGCTCCTCCTGCTCCCCCTGCTCCTCCTGCTCCTCATGCTCCTCATGCTCCTCCTGCTCCTCTGCCTCCTCCTGCTCCTCCTGCTCCCCCTGCTCCTCCTGCTCCTCTGCCTCCTCCTGCTCCCCCTGCTCCCCCTGCTCCTCCTGCTCCTCATGCTCCTCTGCCTCCTCCTGCTCCTCCTGCTCCTCCGCCTCCTCATGCTCCTCCTGCTCCTCCGGCTCCTCTGCCTCCTCATGCTCCTCCTGCTCCTCCTGCATGGTGTTCTGTTTGTAGTATTTGAGATATTCTCAAAGAAATCGGAGCCCAACGATTCTTTTTAGTATTTTTCATCATTGTGGATATTAATAACTCTGTTTTCAGCTGGTGGGAAAGTATTTCTCTTTAAGTAGTATTTCTATCTTGGCATGGGTAGTACTGTGCTTCATGTATTACCATTAGTGGTATTACTGGTATATATAAATTAATATTCCTTACAGAGTGAAGCTTATTATTCAACTCCTTATAATTCCTTAGTAGAATTATAGTATTTTATTTTAGTACTAATATGTGTTGCAGTGACACTATTTAAATGTTTACAAACTAATACCAAAAGGTATTTATTATGTATTTTGCACTTCATCACATCAAAGTGATTATCAGTATTATAAAAAGGGGACAAATATTTATATAAATATACTTTTCTTTGTATTTTTCTTCAGTGTTGTTCAACATTAATAATGTCGCGATGTAGTTCTTGTGGTACTATTATCTATCAGTAGCAGAGCAAGATGTTCTTGGATAAGTATTTGTGTACTTCTTTAAGAGTAATTTAAGCCACAAATTAGACTTTTAGGAAGTAGTACTATTGGAGGTACTAATATTTAAAACCAGTGGTGGCTGGGGCCCCAACTTCAGCCAAAAAAGCAAAAACAAGATTATATATATTTTTTAAATTATATTAAAAATACATTTTAAATATAGTCAATATGTATCTATTTGTGTTTTTGTGAAATATACACAGTCTCATTTGTAAATTAAGATATCTGCACAAAATATATGCTTTTCCTGCCCGTCCTCTCCGCTTGTCTCGGCTGGGCTCGCGTCGGCCCCAAAGAGGCGGGTCTAAGAAGCAGTTAGCCAATCACTGATGAAGTTAATGAGTGACATTATAACTTCAGCCCCCTAAAATACATCGAGATTTGGGCCCTTTGCCGCCCGACGCTGCGCTCTGTCAGGGCGAGTCTCCCAGGCGCCGTTTAACAACACGACCAGCGGCAGCGTCCTTAAGGAGACCCGACCCGGACTCCGTCCCAGAGAAGAACTTTGCAGAGAAACTAGCTAGTTAGCTACATGCTAGCGCCGTTAACATAACGGTAATGTTAACATGAATTAACATGGCTACCCAGCTGCACGCACGCAGGACTGCGGCGAGGACACACAACCAGGACACACAAACAGGACACACAAACAGGACACACAAACAGGACACACAAGCAGGACACACAAGCAGGACACACAAGCAGGACGTGGATGAAAACAGGTGCATTTTATCCAGGTAATGCTGTGCTGTGCGTTTTCCCTGGAGGGTTTGATCTGTTCTCCCGGCGCCTCGAGTCCGGCTGCCTGTTGATTTACGAGCCGTTAGCTCACGGCGGCGTCCCGGAATCGCCTCCGTTACCCGGAGTGGAGCCGTGGGTAAATCAAACTTATGGAGAGTCCACTCGTCTAATCCACAGCTCGGTTTGACGCGAGTCACGCAGACGTCCGCGCACGTCCGTGACCTCGTGAGGATGAAGAACCACGTTTATCAAATCTGCTCAGATTGATTTGTGTTTTCATGTGTTGATGTTCATATTTTCGGCCTCTGGTCCTTTAATGAGTGCAGGCTTCTCTCTTTACTGTAATGAAATTCACTCTCATCCACAATGTAAATGCTGAGCTGGTGGGAGGAAGCAGAGGAGCCGACAGGAAGCCGACGCTGGGAAACGTGCAAACTACTACTTATTACATTAAACGGCCACCCATCAAAATCTATTTCCATTTTAAAGTATTCAACACAGATTTGAGGGTCTATTTTATTGCCTCATTACGGCTCTCAACATGGAGACCGCTAATCATGCCAACTGTGCTAACAGCGCTAACTGTGCTAACAGCGCCGGCTGTGTTCCACCACTCAGCTGCCACTTCGTGATGAACATTCTGCGTCACCGAGGTTTCCGTTAGCTTGATTTGCTAGCTGACTTTACGCTACGTTACGCATGCGTGTATTTGAATTTTTGTGACGTATCTTTGTTGCCGTTGACTATCGCACATTTTACGGCTCTGTAATTTCAGACAAAAGTCAACAAAGATTTGTTTTTTGTTGTTGTTGGTGACTGATGAACAGCGCTAACGAAGCTACCGCTAGCTCCACTGGTTGATCGTGTTTGGATGTTTTAAATGTACAAATTTAAAAAGAAGAACACTTCTAACATGCTAGCACCTGATCGCTGAAGACATTCACAACACAGATATATTCTTTATTCATGTATTGTTTTTTGTCATATTTGCTACCAATATTTAATTGTTTGCTAATTGATCTTAGGATAAACAATCCTCATTGGAGACGACGTTTTAAGGGCTTATTCCCAACAAAGATGATCCATATAAAAGGCGGTGTGTAGCGTTCTCTTCAGCTCCGTCCTCTGATGGTGCAGGTGGTGTCGGTGCTGCGTCCGGAGGAGATGTTTGAGTGCGTGTTCACGTGCGGCGCCGACTGTAAGGGGACGTCTCTCTATCCGTGTCTGCAGATCTTCGTCAACAACTCAGAGTCCAACTCGGTGGCTCTGCTGCACTTCGACGAGCAGCAGCTGGTCCTCAACCCGAAGGTAACCATGGAAACGGCTCTTCGT